TCAACCCTATAAACCCTATTATACCTAAACCCTATATAAACCCTGAACCCTGAACCCTAAACTAGAAACCCTGCCGCCTAAACCCTCAAGCCCAAACCCTAAACCCTAAACCCTAAACCGTCAACCCTAAACCCTTATAAACCTTAAACCCTGAACTCTAAAACGTCTCAAAAGCCGCCGCACAAAGCTTGAAGCTCGGAAAGACTGTCGTTGCTGAGGCCTCCCCTCAAAGCCGGAACCCTAGACCCCTGAAGCCAAAGCACTGTCCGAGTTTGTATATATAGGTCAGAAAAGCCTGCGTGGGCCGAAATCAGTGCCGTGCAGGCTCGCTGAATAGGTTTGTCTTTGCCACTGCCTCGTGTAGCAGCCGCCACTGATGGCGGTGCTTGTGGTGGAGCACCTGAAAGCGCTGACGCAGCTCGCCACAGTCTTGGGGCCGGAGTCACACCTGCTGCAGCCCCACGTGTCGAAGCTGCTCCAGGTCATCCTGCGAGCACAGGACCTGACCGTGCAGGACAGCTTGCGAGCTGCCGAGGTCCTGGAGAGCGGCGTCCTGCCTGAGCACCTGAAGGCTCGTCTGCGAACGGCCTTAGAAGAGCGACTGCGGTTGCCGAAGCGAGGCGGCAAGGTCCCTCGGCAAGACTGGTGCTCCATGCCCTTATACTTGCCGGGTGCGGTGATGCGGACCCTGACCGGAGAGGATGGCATGTTTGTGAAGCTGGACCTGCTCATGCAGTGGTTGCTCAGCGTGGGCCTTCGGGGCCCCACAGAGCCGACCCTCGGTGTCATCACTGTCCTAGTGAACCTGTCCCAGAAACCGGCTTTGCTCCATCCGCAAACAGGACATGATCTGTTTTTGCGATGCAAAGCGAGAGCCAGGCTGTACCTAGACAAAGCCTGCCCTTGGTCCAGCGAGTTCGTGTCGGAGCTCCCTGCGGATCCACGCGTGCTGCCGTGCCCAAATGCCTTTTTCCACACGGCTCCGTCGCAGATCGTCATGCCACCGGTCTTCGCGGATTTCCTTCTTCTCTGCAACAGCTTGCCCTTGCGAAGCAACCATGCCTTGCTGCAAAAGGGTTCGAAGCTTAGCAAGAAGAGCTTGCAGTCTCTGCCCTCGTTTAGCGAGGCACCTCTCCCTGCGCTTGGTCCGCAACTCTCGCTACCAGCTCCGCCTGCACCGCCTCTCGTGCTGTCAGTGCCGACCGCGACAGAGCAGACCCAGCTGCAGAGGCCAGAGGCTGGGCCCTTCAAAGCCGTACTCGAGGAGGTTCGTGTTGCGGAGCCCCTGCTACTGCCGTCGGCTCCTGCTGCTGCGGAAAGCCAAGAAGAGGTGCAGCCAGAGGCGCAGCCCGTCGTGCAGCCGCCGGCTGCTGCTGCTGTGCAGAGGCAGCTACAGGTGCGGCCGGAGGCAGACAGTGCCGACGTGGACGCTTCCGAGAAGCCGCAGGCGAATTCCATTGCCAAGAAGCGAAGTTTGTTAGAGTGCGTAGAAGACATGAAGAAGGCACGCAAGCAGCTGAAGTGTGGCAAGGAGGCTGCAGCTTCTGCGACGAAGCCCACCGAGAGCACGGATCTGAACGTTGCGCCGACTCGCCGCTGCCGCGAGAAGACGGGGCCTGCGGCAGCCAAGCCCAAGCCGGCGCCC